CCCCCTCTGCCTAGAAACCCTCGATGAGACAGACAGGGGCCTCTTCCCCTGCGAGTGCGGCTACCAGGTGTGTTGCAGCGCATGAGGGTTTGTGTTTCTAGCATTAGGGTTTGTCGCCGCAGGGTTTAGCTTTGTCACCCTGGGGTTTGTCGCGTGAGGGTTTGTTGCTCCAGGGGTGCGGGTTAGGGTTTATCGTCTTAGGGTTTATTCCTCTAGGGTTTGTTTCTCTAGGGTTTGGTAGTTTAGAGTTTGTTGCTGTAGGGTTTGTCGCTCCGGGGTTTGTTGCCTGGGGGTGTATTACCTTAGGGTTTATCGCCGTAGGGTTTGTTGCTGCAGCAGTTACACAGGGCATAAGCAACACAACTCTCTGCTCTTGCTGCTGCTGCTGCTGCTGCTGCTGCTGCTGTTGCTGTTGCTGCTGCTGCGGGTACTTAGGTGTGTCTTTGGTGCCTGCACCACATACGTGATCATCTGGCGAACAAGTGCCCAGCTTGTCGCCGCGACTATGACGAGAAGAAGTTCAAATACGACCAGACAAAGGTCTTGGAGTGAGTTGCAGCGGCAGCAGCTTTAGTGCAGCAACTGCAGCAACTGCTGCAGCAGCAGCAGCAGCAACAGCAGCAGAAAGGAAGCTGTTGCAGACAAGCAAACGCGAGATACACGCATACACACGCTCAGGCAAAGGAGAAAAGCAGGCTCACTATACACCCGGCCGCTAACAGAAATGAGGGATTTCAACACACATAAACAATGCAGCTGTGCTGCTAGCTGCTGCGGCTGCTTGATGGTGTTCTCTGCTGGCTGCTGTGTGCTGCTGCTCAGGCTCACGAAGCAAGTAGGACGCAAGTCAANTTGATGGTGTTCTCTGCTGGCTGCTGTGTGCTGCTGCTCAGGCTCACGAAGCAAGTAGGACGCAAGTCAAGAGATAAGGTCTGCGGGGCATCGGATCCAACGAGGAGTGGGAGCAGCGGTGGCGGCAGCAGTAGCAGCAGCAGCAGCAGCAGCAGCAGCAGCAGCAGTCGCTCTGCCGGTGCCTCTGGATCATCCCGCGGAGGTGCTGCAAGCAGCAGCTCGGCTGCTTCTTATGGCAGCAGCAGCAGAAACGCAGCAGCAGCGCAGCAGCAAGCATCAGGGGCTCACCGTCGCGGCTCGCGAGAAGCAGCAGCTCCGTCATCCGCCCAGGCAGCAGCTCTGAAGGACGTCCGCGTCATTCAGCGCTGCTTAGTATATGTTATTGGTATTCCCCCATCTATAGCAAAGAAAGAGGTTCGTTGCTGCTGTATATACTCTCTAGGGTTTAGAGCTTTTTAAGGGTTTCTAGGGTTAGGGGTTTAGGGGTCTAGGGGACAGGGACCAGGGCTGGGATCCGATCCCGCTGTCGTCTCCCCGCGTCCTTCAGCTTGCTGCTTTCGCTCCCCCGCTGCAGTTGTTGTGTGTTGCGTGCTGT